TGGTGTACAGTGAGACTGGGTGTCCTGGTGTACAGTGAGACGTGATGAAGAGACTGGGTGTCCTGGTGTACAGTGAGACGTGATGGAGAGACTGGGTGTCCTGGTGTACAGTGAGACGTGATGAAGAGACTGGGTGTCCTGGTGTACAGTGAGACTGTGTGTCCTGGTGTACAGTGAGACTGTGTGTCCTGGTGTACAGTGAGACGTGATGAAGAGACTGGGTGTCCTGGTGTACAGTGAGACTGGGTGTCCTGGTGTACAGTGAGACTGGGTGTCCTGGTGTACAGTGAGACGTGATGAAGAGACTGGGTGTCCTGGTGTACAGTGAGACGTGATGGAGAGACTGGGTGTCCTGGTGTACAGTGAGACGTGATGGAGAGACTGGGTGTCCTGGTGTACAGTGAGACGTGATGAAGAGACTGTGTGTCCTGGTGTACAGTGAGACGTGATGGAGAGACTGGGTGTCCTGGTGTACAGTAAGACTGGGTGTCCTGGTGTACAGTGAGACGTGATGGAGAGACTGGGTGTCCTGGTGTACAGTGAGACGTGATGAAGAGACTGGGTGTCCTGGTGTACAGTGAGACGTGATGGAGAGACTGGGTGTCCTGGTGTACAGTGAGACGTGATGGAGAGACTGGGTGTCCTGGTGTACAGTGAGACGTGATGAAGAGACTGGGTGTCCTGGTGTACAGTGAGACGTGATGGAGAGACTGGGTGTCCTGGTGTACAGTAAGACTGGGTGTCCTGGTGTACAGTGAGACGTGATGGTGAGACTGGGTGTCCTGGTGTACAGTGAGACGTCATGGTGAGACTGTGTGTCCTGGTGTACAGTTAGACTGTGTGTCCTGGTGTACAGTGAGACTGGGTGTCCTGGTGTACAGTGAGACTGGGTGTCCTGGTGTACAGTGAGACTGGGTGTCCTGGTGTACAGTGAGACTGGGTGTCCTGATGTACAGTAAGACGTGATGGAGAGACTGGGTGTCCTGGTGTACAGTGAGACGTGATGGAGAGACTGGGTGTCCTGGTGTACAGTGAGACGTGATGGTGAGACCGTGTGTCCTGGTGTACAGTTAGACTGTGTGTCCTGGTGTACAGTGAGACTGGGTGTCCTGGTGTACAGTGAGACTGGGTGTCCTGGTGTACAGGGAGACTGGGTGTCCTGGTGTACAGTGAGACATGATGATGAGACTGGGTGTCCTGGTGTACAGTGAGACGTGATGGAGAGACTGAGTGTCCTGGTGTACAGTGAGACTGTGTGTCCTGGTGTACAGTGAGACTGGGTGTCCTGGTGTACAGTGAGACTGGGTGTCCTGGTGTACAGGGAGACTGGGTGTCCTGGTGTACAGTGAGACGTGATGATGAGACTGGGTGTCCTGGTGTACAGTGAGACGTGATGGAGAGACTGAGTGTCCTGGTGTACAGTGAGACTGTGTGTCCTGGTGTACAGTGAGACTGGGTGTCCTGGTGTACAGTGAGACTGGGTGTCCTGGTGTACAGTAAGACTGTGTGTCCTGGTGTACAGTGAGACGTGATGTGAGACTGGGTGTCCTGGTGTACAGTGAGACTGGGTGTCCTGGTGTACAGTGAGACGTGATGGAGAGACTGAGTGTCCTGGTGTACAGTGAGACTGGGTGTCCTGGTGTACAGTGAGACTGGGTGTCCTGGTGTACAGTGAGACTGGGTGTCCTGGTGTACAGTGAGACGTGATGGTGAGACTGGGTGTCCTGGTGTACAGTGAGACTGGGTGTCCTGGTGTACAGTGAGACGTGATGATGAGACTTGGTGTCCTGGTGTACAGTGAGACGTGATGGTGAGACTGGGTGTCCTGGTGTACAGTGAGACGTGATGGAGAGACTGTGTGTCCTGGTGTACAGTGAGACGTGATGGAGAGACTGGGTGTCCTGGTGTACAGTAAGACTGGGTGTCCTGGTGTACAGTGAGACGTGATGGAGAGACTGTGTGTCCTGGTGTACAGTGAGACTGGGTGTCCTGGTGTACAGTGAGACGTGATGGAGAGACTGTGTGTCCTGGTGTACAGAGGACGTGATGGCGAGACTTGGTGTCCTGGAATACAGTGAGACTGGATGGTGAGATTGGGTGTCCTGATATAGGGTAATGGCAAGACTTGGTGTCCTCCTATAGTGAGACGTAATGGGGATTCCGGCTTGGAATAGATCCCCAGCAAACCTTTGTTTATACTCACAGATTGGATGGCAAAACCCAGGAACGCCAGTGTGATAAATGAGTAAGTGAGTACGTTGGGTTTAACGCCGCTTTGAACAGTATTCCAGTTATATCACGGCGTGTCAGATTAATGTGGGAGGAAAGTCCGAAGTGATGCAGGTCTTAGACGTTCACCACTTCGGTGAAACCCTCGAGCACGGGTATGGTCCGAACCGGGATTCGAACCCACAATCATCGGCTTCTGGCGTGCCCAAAGGGACGCAACTCTGTACAGCGAATTGCGGCGCCTTAGACGACTGGGTCATCCATATCCCCCCTGTTAAATGTACAGTAAACTACGTTTATAACGAACACGCTTATAACGAACTGACCGATATAACGAACTTATTTTTTAGTCCCAGGTTTGGTGACGTGGTTGATTGCGTGTCATCGTGCCCCGGCTGCGTGGATCGTTGCTCACAATATCGACCACATGGATTGTCTGGTCCAGACCTGATTATTTACAGTCCGCCATATATGTAACAGTCCTGAGTGAGGTGTTAAACAACAAACAAACACCATCAAGTATAAATATGTTCACTGTTTAGTCAGTCATCCGCGTGACTACAAAACTATAGACTAATGGGGAATTATATTATTTATATACTTATAGGGTCTGACACGTTGGGATTCCGGGTTAGAACTTGTCCCGGTGTGTGCGTGTGTGTGTGCGTGCGTGTGTGTGTGTGTGTGTGTGTGTGTGTGTGTGTGTGTGTGTGTGTGTGTGTGTTTAAAACAGTCACGGGTATGGTACTGACAGACCAACGATCGAAGTAGGGATTCCAAACTATCATCAGCGTATCCAGGCACTGCTAAGGGAGGCAAATCTACACACCGTTGCGGCTGCTAGACTACTCGGCCATCTGTCCGCTAGATCGCTATTAGATTACGTGTTGACATTATAATGTTATGTTGGTTGTTAGTGAGTGAGTGAGTATGGTTTTACGCCGCTTTTAGCAATATTCCACCAGTATCACGACGGTGGTTGTTAGACTTATATAGTACATACATAAATAGAATATAATATGATCATATCTTTATTAGACTGGAATTTTCTTAAACAGTTTAATCAAAGAAGACACTATCGAAAAACAGGAACAATGAACGACACCAAATTCAGTACAAACATGTAACAGTGTAATCGCCAACGACTATGTGTAGGTGTACACCTAATGACAAGACGGTAGATCATTTTGCTTCTTTTGCTTTAAGAATCTTCATCTTAACAATGCTTCGTTTTTAAAGAAGGTGACCCGTGAAGATCCGGGGTAGAATATCTCTTCAGCGACCCATGCATGCCGTAAGATGCGACTATGCTTGTCGTAAGAGGCGACTAACGGGATCGGGTGGTCAGGCTCGCTGACTTGGTTGTAGCATGTCATCGATTCCAATTGCGTGGATCGATGCTCATGGTGTCAATCACTGGATTGTCTGGTCCAGACTTATTTACAGATCGCCGTCATATAGCTGGAGTATTGATGAGTGCGGCGTAAAACAACAAAACAACCAACTATAGAAGGTGATCCTCCATACTATATTATATTGTTATAAGATTGATAGATCTATAACATGATATAGATTGAGAAAATAAGAAAGAAAACCACAGTCTAGTGATTTTATTCATATTCTTTTTGATTGCGTTCTATATGTGAGACAAAGTGGGAAAGAAGAGGTCGATCCCATGAGATTTCACCTTTCTTCCAATGTAATACAGCTGTAAAAGTATATGAAGCGTCCGTCTAATATCAACACGCTTGAATCTATGATTAATTATTGGTTGGTTGGTTGGTTGGTTGTTTAACGCCACACTCATCAATACTCCAGCTATATGACGGCGGTCTGTAAATAATCGAGTCTCGACCAGACAATCCAGTGATTGACATCATGAGCATCGATCCACGCAATTGGGATCGATGACATGCATCAACCAAGTCAGCGAGCCTGACCACCCGATCCCGTTAGTCGCCTCTTACGACAAGCATAGTCACCTTTTACATAATGATTATATTGACTCCAGTTTGTATTATACATGTATAAGAATAATGAAAATATCTTCGAAAGAAATATGGGTCTAGATTCTATATTATGTTATTTTCTCTTACATTATAAGGGTAACGCTATTTTTCAGGGCATTACCATTTGCAGTAGCCTGAGGTCTTCCATTAACTGCCCGACGAAGGAGGGCAGTTGAAAAGACCGAGGGCTTCTGGAAATGATAATGCCCTGAAAAATAGCGTTACCGTTATTATTGCTAAAATGGATAGAATTTGTAATCAAATAAAAATAAACAATATCTGTTTTGAAACATTTAGTGCAATCAACACGAATTTCACTAACCCACTTTTACAAATATGGAAACGTCACAGAACAAACCAGATGACGTCACTATTGAACGTGACGTCACCTTTCCTGTCCCTGTGACGTCACCTAACAACGGGCGTGATAATGGCCCGTCGTCAAGCAATATGAGGGCATTATCAAGTTACAGTGGCCCGCTCATTTCTGATAACATGCGGGCGGTTTAATGATAATTCTAACCATTTTAGCTATAATATATTTTAATAGATCTAGATCTAGATCTTTAGGATATTATTTTTGCATTCTCAGTTCCAGCAAAGACGTCTTTGGTTCCAGTTATTACATGGAATGTGTTGTGTATGTCTAATCTATATTAACAAATTGTATTAAATATTCCACAAACATGTAATGACACGCGTCGTACATCTATTTTTAGAAATCGTACACGATTAACTCCCTTTCGCGGAATCTCCCAAAAACAAACATGGCCGACTTCTGTTGATATTTTGGAAAGCGTTACTCAAGTTTGTCTTTTGTGTTGAATCTAAAGTGCATCTCCCGTGGAATTATTGTGATTCTGTTACCATGGATACCGGTTCTGTTAATGGCATGGATGACAGCCTCAGGAGACTCGCCAGTTTCCAGGAGCATCCGCTACCAGAGCCGGGCCGGAGGAACCACGCGTCTTTGTTGACATACAATTCCCCCATGAAGCTGTCAAATGCTGGGTTTTATCGCCACCCTGAAGCTCTGGGGGACGAGGTGAAGTGTTTCCAATGTTCCGTGTCGTTCCGGGGATGGTCAGGCGAGTCGCCGATGGCCGTGCACCGTGTCCTTAGTCCGGACTGTGCCTTCTTAGCGAGACACACACCGGCACTTTTGACAGCTCGGAGACCCGGGAGAACCCGACCAGGTGACCCCCGTAACGTCCGACGACGTTTGCAGATGAGCACACCGACGTCGACGGAGGACACACCAAGTGACACAGGCTCTGGTACCCAGGAACAGAGCGTGCTGGCTGTGTACGACAGATATAATACTCACAGAACGCCCGAGCAGTCGGATACTGAAAATCAGGTCAATGTGGGTGATGAACGAATTGGGTCGATGTTGTTTGAGAGTCACCGACTCCTCACCTTCCCCAGCCCTACCCACCCACGGGCTGAGGTGTGGGCGGGGTCGGGGTTTGTGTACCAGGGGGAGGGGGGCGTGGTCAGGTGTGTGTTCTGTGGGCTGGAGATGTTGTATGATGTGGATGAACCTGCCAAGAGACACCAGGAGATGTCCAAGAATTGTCCTGTCATCAAGTACCTGGATATTGGAAATATACCAAGAGACTTGGAAAACAAGATCAGATCACAGCATCAAGGACAATCTTGTGACAACCTCTTTGTGAGTGGTGATCCTATGTTTAAACACCCCCAGTTTGAGGAAATGCAGGACAGACTAGAGACATTTAAATATTGGTCTGAACAAATAAGACCAACAGCTGATCAACTTTGCCAAGCAGGGTTCTATTTCACAGGTAAGGTACATTCAAGCATTTGTCACATGAAAACATTTCTATGGCTAAATTGTTAACAAGTTTTAGAATGTGTTTATACAAAAGATGCACAAATGGATGGTGACAGCTTCCAAGTTGTACTATACTTGCAATATACTTATGTGCAAAATGTAAATGGCTTATAACAAACATATTCAATTCACAGAAAACTATAGACATACACTGGATACTTTAAATCATATAGCATTATCTCTAGAGTTGTTTTTTCTGGATGACCTGTATTTTAAACTCCTTAATAAACCGTCTATACAGATCATGCTGATGACAGGTTCAATGTTTGAGTATTGGTGTGTATGTGTGTAATCTTGTAAGAGACTGGACTTTTCAAACAACTAATAATTTATTTTTTTTAAATTTCATGTAGAATGTTTAATTTTTGTACATTCCCTCAGGATCCATTTGATATATTTTCTGTCTCCAAGCAATGCATTTCTGCATAGTGATGGATCATAAACCCTGTATATGATATATCCTGGATTATTCACCTTATATACTTATATTCACCAGGGTACACAGACAAGGTTGTGTGTTTCTGTATAGTGGTGGATCATAAACCCTGTATATAATATATCATGGGTTATTATAGTTATACATATAACATCTATATTCACCAGGGTACACAGACAAGGTTGTGTGTTTCTGTATAGTGGTGGATCATAAACCCTGTATATAATATATTATGGGTTATTATAGTTATACATATAACATCTATATTCACCAGGGTACACAGACAAGGTTGTGTGTTTCTGTATAGTGGTGGATCATAAACCCTGTATATAATATATCATGGGTTATTATAGTTATACATATAACATCTATATTCACCAGGGTACACAGACAAGGTTGTGTGTTTCTGTATAGTGGTGGATCATAAACCCTGTATATAATATATCATGGGTTATTATAGTTATACATATAACATCTATATTCACCAGGGTACACAGACAAGGTTGTGTGTTTTGCCTGTGGGTGTGGCCTGCATCACTGGAAGCCCGAGGCCAACCCCTGGGTGCAGCATGCCAGACACGCCCCTCACTGCGTCTTTGTGAAGCAGCACAAGGGAGATAACTTTACTTTGGAAGCTCAGGAGGCTCAGGTATGTAGTAACAATGTAGGATACTTCTTTTGATACAGTAAACTACGGTTCTAACTAGGGCTGTTACGATTCACTCCCATATTCGGTGAATCGAACCGTATCCATTCATGAATTGAATTCATTATTCGTGACCACTAGAATCGAATATTTATAAATATGCAATCCTGTGCATTCACATACCCTGTACCTAAAAATATCCATAAGAACATATTATATGCACAGATTTCTTCAAAGATAACACTCATATAATATTTAATTTGACAGTATTGTGACCACTGGTCATTGTTGCATTTGAGCAGATACTAGTACCTGGATAAGTGCAGTATATAAATGTATAATATATTAATAGTTAACAAACCATGTCAAATAATTTTTGTTATCGTTTCACTGAATATAACAAATAATACATCAACTGCTGACTCGTTATTGTATTTGTGAATTAATATTCGTATTCGTTACCCTATATTCATGATATGAATCATATTCACCTCCTAGTGTATTCTTTGCAGACCTAGTCCTAATCAACTCAAAGGAACCCTTAAGTTTTATTACCGTATTCGACCATGGCGCTCACAATATTTGAAATAGGGGCTCTTATTAGAATATAATTTTGGTGAAAGAGTTGAAAGATTGTAAATTTTGTGGTTTATGCTGAGAGCCTGAAATGTTTATGTACGACAGATATATTTTAATTTAGTAACTTCTGACATTGTATATCATGACCTGTAATATCTTTGTTCTCTTTCACAGACTCTGACAGAGAGCGACACAGCTGAAGGTGGGTGATGGACAATGTCTGCTGTGTACTGCAATAATCAGAAATATTGACTTGATGTATGACGTGTATTAAGGCAAATTTTAATGTTGTCAATATGTGCCAACCTCATGATAGGCTACATATCGCAATACTTGGGTATCGATACACTACACATTGTAACACCTAATTTACATTGTTTATAAGTGAGATTCTCCCAGGTCGTATATGCTATCAATGATGCTATCAACCAGTTTGTGTTATACTCACATGGTAACACTGTCTCAAGTAATCGTCAGACAGAGTTATTGTAGTATTTCATCAATATTACTTTTTTTCTTAATTGCCAAGTTTAGGAGTGTCATGATGAGCCTAGCTCATTATATGATACATCTGACGATACTTCAGTCATGAGACTTTTTCCATTGTTAGGCTGACAAGGGGATTTATCATCCAAAACTGGCTCCCACCAGAGATATCGCTTGGATTAGATCAAGCGATATCTACACTGTAGATATCGCTGCAATAGAATTACATCACAATGGTTTGCAGACCATTGTGATGTCACTGGTTACCATGACATCACAATCAAATGACATCACTAATGGCTCTGCTACTGAAGCTGTTTGCAGTACTTTTTACACTGAAGACACTGCTAATTACTGTCTACAAATTGAAAAAGTTGAATGAATGATGTTGGATGATAAATAAAATCTCACCCTGAATATGATTCCCTGTGCGGCAAGCCTTGGAATTTTTCCACTTTTATCAACTCGTGTTGATATATTTGATATCAAAAGACACTCGGGTGAGATTCTCTATATTGGTAGCAACCAATTTGTTTCACTCTCAATACAGACTAATTTAGACTTGCTCTAACACTTCCATGCAAGCAGTTTTTGAACTATGTTGTATGGTGTTAATGAAAACCTGGCTCAAGCAATCATCAGTTATTACAATAAATATTACTTCTTGAAAACTGATTCTGAATTAAATATTGATCATGAAATAATTGTGAACACTTCACGGGTATTGCCTACATTACATGCCTCAGTTGTGACCCATGAAACCCAGTCGTCTAAGGTGCCGTTATTCGCTGTGCAGAGTTGCGTCCCTTGGGCACGCCAGAAACCTATGATTGTGGATTCCAATCCCGGTTCGCCCCAATTATGTTTCTAGGTTTGTCAGCACCATGCTCTTGGGTTTCACCGTACGTCCGTGACCTGCATCACTTCGGGCTTTTCTCCCACATTAAGCTGACACACAGTGATATAACTGGAATACTGATAAAAAGGGCGTTAAACCCAACTCACTCACTCACTCACTCACTCACTCACTCACTCACTCACTCACTCACTCACTCACTCACTCACTCACTCACTCACTCACTCACTCACCCACCCACCCACCCATCCATCCACCCACTCACTCACTCACTCACTCACTCACTCCATGACCCATGAAGAACTGACAATGTCAAAACATGTCACTGTATCACATCGTTATCTGTCAATGCCTTGGACAGAAATAAGGGAATCATTCTATACCAATCCAAGTAAATATCAGTTGGATTCATTTATCAGTGCACACGTCGAACCTAAAACTAAAGATTTTGATGAGTATGGACAGCTGGGAATCTTATTGATAACAGTTCAACTAAGTTATATGAAACAACCGAACTTTATGAAATAATTTTTTCCCATGTTTAATGAATATGCCATTCTCTTCACAGACCAGTGCGGCACCCCTGGCAGCCCGGCCACGCCCTCCCCACTCCGCCCGAGTCTGGACATGGCGGCCATCAAGGCAGCCTTGGCATGTCAGTATGATGTACAGCAAATCCGACAAGCTGTTCTTAAATTCTTTATCTTGTCCCGTGAGTGTATTGTGCTCATGTTGAGGTCACTGGTCATCCTGCCTGTAAACTAACGTGAATCCTTCACTCTTCTCTTCCGAGTCATTCATTTTCTTCTACATGATCTAAATAACATTTATAAATTGAGATTATCCCCCTTGAATATTTGTTTTCAAATTATCTCCCTTTAACAATCCTTCACTCTTCTTCTCAGAGTCATTCATTTTCTTCTACATGATCTAAATAACATTTGAAAATCGAGATTATCTCCCTTTGATATGCTCTTTTGTTAAACTAAATGAGACTGTGAGAGTTTAATCCAAAAGCTGTTCCCAATCTAGCCTACAAGACATTCTCTTGTTCTAAACTATTTTAATTGTTTATTGAACTTTGCTAAGCTTGGATCGGCCAGAACAAGAATAAATTTGTGTTGTTCTCTAGAATGTATATTTTATTTAGTTGTATTGTTGGGAAAAAAGTATTCATGTGTCCTTATTTCTGGATATGCAGGATGTTTAGCAGTATACAATAACCTAGAGGACATTTGTTCTCTTTGCAGTGGCTGTGGACAATGCATTCGATCAGTTATCATTTTAAAACTTTACATTTTATTACTTGATTTTTTTATACCTGTAATTTTTGAAGATGTAACTCTTTGTTTTTCAAACTCATCACAGATGGAGGAGCCAGGCAAATAAAAATACATTTACAGTCTGCGCTCAGAGCTTTTGAGTATCAAGTCCAAACTTTTACAGTAGATTTGTTTTTAAGCTATTGGATAATTAATTATCAGCTGATCTTTCTAGATTGAAAGAAATTATATCAGACAAGACTGGACTAGGGCTTCAGACTCTTGACTATACTCTCAAACTACAGTCAAATGTTTTTTTGTTTTATTTACCATGGCTTTTGGCTCTGCTGGTTAAATCTGTAAAATGAAAAATGAAAAAAAACCCATGTCTCTTAGTTACGAGGTCCCCTCACTGCATCATCACAACTACCCTCTCCATGACAGGTGGGTTCTACCCTAACGAGGCGCTGCTCCTCGGCACTCTGCGAGCCTCCGACGCCAACTTCTCCCAGCTACAGAGACAAAGGGAGACAATCCACACCAAGGACCTGAGTCTCATCAGACAGAGCGAGGAGATCCAGCAGAAGGACCAGCTGCTGGAGAGGAAGGATGAGGAGATGGAGCGCACCCACGAGGAGTACCACACAGAGCTGAGTCGGGAGCAGGCACAGCGGCGGTGTGAGATGCAGGCACTGACTGCCAGGCTGCAGGCACAGGCCCAGGTCATCCAGAGACAGGGGCAGAGACACGCCCAGGTGGAGCGGAGACACGCCCAGGTGGAGCGGAGACACGCCCAGGTGGTGCAGGTTAAGGACCACCAGCTGGGACACAAGGATGAGGAGCTGGACAGGAAGCAGAGGGAGCTGAACAGTCTGGCTGTGGAGATGAGGAGACAGGCCGAGGAGAACAGGAGACAGGCGGAGGAGAACAGGCGGAAGGACGAGGAACTGGAGAGACTAAGGCAGCTTCTACAAGGTAGGGAGTCACAGAGTTTTTAGGCCACAGTGAATAATTTTCTTATTTGCATCCAAATTTTTACCAAAATGTAAGGTGGGAGTCATATTATCTATCATATTTTGTTTTGTTTGGAACCAGCTGTACAAGGCACATGTGGAGAGCCGATGTGGAGACTAGGCACAGGTCATTTGTCCGTCATATTTATTGGATACTGGTACCAAGTTTATTGGACTGGTTTATCGCATCAATAACACTTTCCATGATATGATATGGTATGCCATATATTATCAGACAAAAGACAACAGCAGACAAACAAAGTGGATGACTTGATTTAAGATGTCTAATTTCGTGAGCCTGGCTCCCTCTTGTACTGTAATGAATAATGGAAAGTTTATGATGTGTCACTCCTGCATTTATTCAGAAAGTAGTGAAAGAGAGGAAGGCATTTTAGGTTAAATTATGAAATTTAAGGTGCAATGTTTAGTGCTTATTTTCTGCTTGATTGTATTTTCTTATTGGGTTACTGATTTATCACCAATGTTAGTTTATACATGGCACAATGTTCAGTTGGGTTACTGATTTATCACCAATGTTAGTTTATACATGGCACAATGTTCAGTTGGGTTACTAAATTTCAAAGGTTGGGAAATAACATTTGATGTTTTAAAATGATAAATCATCTATTTGTAGCCTCTAGGGACTAGATATTTCTATAGTCAGATACAAAATCTGATGTCAGCTTGGTTTCATTGTAGTACTGCTTGAGTACAGTAACACTACTTGACATACAAGGAGGGCAGTACAAGCTTGTAGTTCTGTAGTTCAAAGACACAGAGTGTTCAGATGCCCTCTGTCCTTATTGCACCAGTCAAAACCTTGTCACAGAAGTCACCTGTTGTCTTGCTGACATTATACTGTGGGTTATTTGTAGGAAACTAAATGTTTCTGAGTACTTCTGAGATTAGCAAGGATTGTCGGCTAGCCTAGAGTTTGTTCTGCATGCAGAAGACCTGAGTTCGATTTCCCACATGAGTACTATGTATGAAGCCTATATCGCCGTGGTATTGCTGGAATATTGCTAAAAGTGGTGTAAAACCATACTCACTCACTCTAATATTATATGAATAAGCACAAGACATATTCAACTTACATCATTACCAAATTAGGAAGTGACAAGATAACTGTGTACTTTAAGCGTCAGGTGTTAAGTTGCGAAATGCCTCTGCATACTTTTTCGGGCAGCCATGTTAATGTGATTACTAATAATGGGGTGTAGCATCACACAGATATTAGATACTCAGATGACTTCGTTTTTAAGAGAAAGTTGTCTTTTATTAGGGATAAGATGTTTTACAGTTGTTCATATGATTAGAGAGAAAACAGCGAATGTTTCTTTAGCGTCCAAAAACCATTAACACAGCAATATACTTTCTTTTGTCAAACCTAAAATTGTACAAATAAGAATTGTGTATTATATAATTTTGTACAGTTGTTGCTTTTGCAACAATCCCTAAAAATCTTAACTTCATGATAATCCTGTCCTTAACTTGAACTCGGTATTTCATTAAACTCCATCTTGTTTGTTCTGCAGCTAACAACATACAGAACAACGGCCCTGTCAACAACAACGCTGCTGCTGCTGCTGTCCCCGCCCCCGGTGTCCCTGCCGACCCCGCCTACGCCCGATGTAAGGTGTGTCTGGAGGAGGAGGCCCAGTGTCTGTTCCGCCCGTGTCGACACGTGTGTTGTGGCACTCAGTGTGCCCCCCACTTCATCGGGAAGACGTGCCCCGTCTGTCGGAGCAGTGTGCGTGACTGGGAGGTCATCTATGTGGCGTAGACACACACCTCAGCCCCGTCTGTCGGAGCAGTGTGCGTGACTGGGAGGTCATCTATGTGGCGTAGACACTCACCTCAGCCCCATCTGTCGGAACAGTGTGCGTGACTGGGAGGTCATCTATGTGGAATAGACACACACCTCAGCCCCATCTGTCGGAACAGTGTGCGTGACTGGGAGGTCATCTATGTGGCGTAGACACACACCTCAGCCCCGTCTGTCGGAGCAGTGTGCGTGACTGGGAGGTCATCTATGTGGCGTAGACACACACCTCAGCCCCATCTGTCGGAACAGTGTGCGTGACTGGGAGGTCATCTATGTGGCATAGATAACACCTCAGCCCCATCTGTCAGAACAGTGTGCGTGACTGGGAGGTCATCTATGTGGCATAGACACACACCTCAGCCCCGTCTGTCGGAGCAGTGTGCGTGACTGGGAGGTCATCTATGTGGCGTAGACACACACCTCAGCCCCATCTGTCGGAACAGTGTGCGTGACTGGGAGGTCATCTATGTGGCATAGACACACACCTCAGCCCCATCTGTCGGAAAAGTGTGCGTGACTGGGAGGTCATCTATGTGGCATAGACACACACCTCAGCCCCATCTGTCGGAACAGTGTGCGTGACTGGGAGGTCATCTATGTGGCATAGACACACACCTCAGCCCCATCTGTCGGAAAAGTGTGCGTGACTGGGAGGTCATCTATGTGGCATAGACACACACCTCAGCCCCATCTGTCGGAACAGTGTGCGTGACTGGGAGGTCATCTATGTGGCGTAGACACACACCTCAGCCCCATCTGTCGGAACAGTGTGCGTGACTGGGAGGTCATCTATGTGGCGTAGACACACACCTCAGCCCCATCTGTCGGAACAGTGTGTGTGACTGGGAGGTCATCTATGTGGCGTAGACACACACCTCAGCCCCATCTGTCGGAACAGTGTGCGTGACTGGGAGGTCATCTATGTGGTGTAGACACCCACCTCAGCCCCATCTGTCGGAACAGTGTGCGTGACTGGGAGGTCATCTATGTGGCGTAGACACCCACCTCCGTCTCAGAATCTTAGTGGCAGCTATGAGGTGTCTGTTTTGTCCATGTGTTCGTTTCATCATTTTTATTGTCTGTCTGTCCCCCGCCGTGATATTGCTGGAATATTGATAAAGGCGGCGTAAAACCATACACTCTCACACAATTGTCCGTCTATTTTCTAGTCCACAGGGACTCCGCATGCTCCTCATTTCATCAGGAACACTTGCCCCATCTGTTGGAACTTTGTGTGACTGGGAGATCATCTGTGTGGTGTGGACTATAGACCTCACATCTTGCTCTACACCAGAAACTGGGAGATCATCTGTGTGGTGTGGACTATAGACCTCACATCTTGCTCTACACCAGAAACTGTTTCTTGTTATGACCTGTATAGAAATGCTATTTTAGTGGAAGTATATTTTTAAGAAAGATGAACTATTACTTTCTTGAAATATGTTTTGAAGCCATCTTTATTTATTTTATCAACTATATGGAACATTTTGATACACCAGGAATTGTTACTTAATTGTTTTGACCTGTATATAAATGTTTTTCATCGGAAATATGTTGGAAGACAAAGTAACAGATATTTTTATCAAATATGTTGGGAAACCATCTATATTTATTTTAGTAACCTTATGAAATATTCAGATCTATTTTGTGACATATTCTATGTGTATTAAGAATGGATTAACTTGTAATTTTTACATATTTTATTATGTACAAACGCAACCACTCAAAGTTGAATGGAATTCTCCTGGAATATATCCACCTGAAAAAAAAGTCAAGGACCACACCTTTTTTATTTTCCAATCTCTGGAATAATACACCTGCTTGAAGTGTTGTACAAGACCTCTGCATGTTTCTCCAGAAGGCCCCAGTTACCATGGTTACTTGATCATCCCATATGTGATGCAAAGAAACAGTTGAAAGGGCACTCAGAAAACTTTGGCAGTGGAGAATTTACAAAACATGTAGTCAGATAGTGGTTTTTGGTTTGTATTGTATTGTATTTCAATATGAACATGGCACTTTCTAAACAAAATTAAATGTAGTTCATGACAAAAATTGCAGGATATGTTTCTAAAAAATGACTTTTTATATGAAAATATATTGTAAGTAGCCTTGACTTTATTCTGTGTATCTGTCTCCTAACTCTCACTCTCCATCCACGCCAGAAACCTATGATTGTGGGTTCGAATCCCGGTTCGCCCCGATTATGTTTCTAGGTTTGTCAGCACCATACCCGTGCTCGTGGGTTTCACCAAAGTGGTAAACGTCTGAGACCTGCATCACTTCGTGTGTTCCTCCCACATTAAGCTGAGACGCCGTGACATAAAAGCGGCGTAAAACCCAACTCACTCACTCACACCTAACTCTCACTCTCCTCCTGTCTGTATCTCGTCTATGAAGCTGCTGGCGGCTCCTAAGCATCTGTTATGTGTCTGTTTTGGCCAGGTGTAGCATCTGTCTTGTATATTTTCGTCAGTCATTTATTAAAGGGAAGGGGAGGAGGCTGAGATATTTTAGAAATAATTACAGAAATGTTCGAAACAGTTCAAAGTTCATCTAATGAAGGTCCTCCCAAATGCTTTCATTCCTGACCCTCCGCTTCACGTGAATTAAGTGTTCCCTCTGTCTGCATGTCTCATGTCCAGATAAGCAGTGGGGTAGCCGAGTGGGTAAAGCGTTTGCTCGTCATGCTAAAGAGCCGGGTTTGATTCCCAACATGGGTGCAATGTTCGACGCCCAATACTGGTTTGCCCTACCAAGATATTGCTGGAATATAACCATACTCACTCACTCACTCACTCTCATGTTCAAAATCTAAGTAACTGTTTAATTTTTCATTTTCATATTTCATGACCCTCCCCTAAACACTGTCATGTTTTTTGGTTACCCTCCCCTGGTCCCTCTAGCCCCTGCCCCACTACTAAATGACTGATCTTAATAACGCTTGATTGATATTGTACAGAGAAGTTCATGTCTATAGTCATTGTCATATATTTCATTCAAAGACACACAGCTGTCTTGTATATTTCTCAGACCATAGTGCTATTTCTATTCTGTCGTTCTCAATATGTATTTGATTGCATGTCTTCAGATATTTGTACATACACTTTACCCACCTCATCAGATTTTCATCCAAATTTGTCTGCATATATGTAGGTATGTAGGTATATATTTTCCAACACACTGTACTTCAGTGAACAGTGTCTGCCGTGGGATGAGATTCACCTGGAACTTGTGGCAGGGCCAGGTACATGGTGTTGTTCATCAAGTAACGGAACGAAGGAAACACATGTAGAGAACTGGATTGACTGGTCTCATATAGCTGGAATATTGCTGAGTGTGGCGTTAAACAACAAACCAACCAAACTTTGTGGACGACATCCAGATTTACTTAATAATCATTCCCACGAAGCATTCCATGAGTTTCCACCCTTTTCAGCAACAGTAACAACCTATGCAACACTACAGCAGGGCCTACATCCACTACATTTCCATATGGTGCAATTTCTATATAGTGCTAACATTGTCCCCTATATATGAGGTCAGTCCTACCTTCATTGTACTTGTTACTATGGTTACATTAAGTGGTCCTGTTGCTGGCAACATTAGCAGACTGAGCTAGGACAAATCAGTGGAGTTAACAATGTCACTTTTTGTAATAATTATTCTATGCTGATGAGTGGAATTAAGACTTTGTCTGTGAACCAGGAGTCTTGATCTGTCGTTTATTATTCCTGATTGTCTTCAGTCATAAGTTGCCATACTGCTGTTATACGACGTGAGCAATAGATTATTATGTTGTTATAGGGCATCATCTGCTGTTATATACTGCTTATTGATTGAGTAGTGGATATAATTAGTTTTATTTCATAATGAACTTGCGTTATGGAATAATACATGATGTTATTGGGTTGATTATTGTAATGATGTTTTGGATCTGTTATAACTGAAATGCATTTTAAAGACGTTTAGCTACAGCCTTTGAGCAGATGAGAGCTGGGAGACATGAGGCAACGACAGGGGTACAACCTTCTAATTTCACACTAGTCGGAAAAATCCATAGAAGTCTTCACATAGGGGACTCAACCCCCAAAAGAACTAGAATTCTTACTTTACTAAGAAAGTGTTATTGTTAAATAAAGAAGTTGTCATCCTTAAAAATTGATGTCTTCTTGAAAATATGGTATGAATAAACTATGTACGTATAACAACAAGTGTTGTGTTGTGTTGTGTGTCTAAAGATATGTCCACAGAAGATTTATCTATCTGTCTGTGAGATTGGTTCAATGCTGCTTTGAACAGTAATTCACCTATACCACGACAGCTCAGCTTGATGTAGAAGCGAAGCCTCAAGGGAGTTCGGGTATAGTGCAGATTTATCATCAGGGCGATTTAGAATTCAAACTCACGAACAGAGGTTTGTGACCTCCCAAAGGTGTTGTGTTGTGGCAATCAGCACAGGTGAACATACATCACCATGTTCACAGAACACGTTCAACAGGTCCATGTTTGGGGACAAAGCAAATTTTTTATTTTGCAATTTTTGAATTTTAGATGTTGAACGTTAGAACATACCAAATAGTGGCCGGGTGAGTATTGTGGTATTAGCTAAACCCTAAATGGGCCCCATTCTTAAATGGGCCTCAGCGAAAGACAGGAGGGGAGATAACTCTCACAAGCATGCTGCAAGCACATGGCTCCAGCCCCAGTCTTGTACACAGCTACACTTACAGTGATTAAACACAGTTAACAAACAAAGACATGTTTGTCATATCGCCACAAGTATGACCAGGCTGACGGATTGTACATCTGAACAATCTCTGTTAGAATTAGTCCCCATCATCACATGCTGGTCGGGTGGTCAGACTTGGTGATGATGTTGATTGTGTGTCATCCTACCCTAATGGTTCTACTACACCAAATCAGTACCAGTTTGGAGAGTGCGGTTTTCGTAGGGAGCCTTCAGTGCAGATCGAGAGATATCTGCAGGCTGTGATTGGAGGATATTCTGTAAGATTTTTATGTCTTTCAAATGTACATCCATCCAGTTATAAGTAATTCATACTTTACATGCTTTTCTGTTTATATTTCACCATGGATACACCATGGAGGCAAATTTAAAAATAATGACAGTGAAGTTGGGGACATTTTGGGTTGTATGGAGCATTTGGATGGGCTGGAAATGAATGTTGCTTCGTATTGTGGTCGAACTCAGCACGAACCCCCCAGGATACCTCTGTCCAACAAGCCCTCCTCCTGCCTTCTGAATTTGTTGAAACTGATGAATTTGACAACAAATTAGGATAAAGTCACCACTGCCACAACAATTTCTGCCTTGTGTCAATCGCTTGCCAGTTAAGTTACGCGATGCCGTTATCTTGAGTATGAAGCATGTACACTGCTGACAGCAGAATATGTCAAACATCCCCTTATTTATAGTAAACAATGTAGCATACCAATATGTCTTTCTGTTAGGTGCTCTTGTGTGAATGAATGATGCTATTTTTCTATTAAGTTTCTAAAAACAGACTAATTTTTCACTCATATGACTTTCAAATAATTATTTTGTCCCCTCAAGAACTGACTCCTGGCTGTTATATCCAAACTGGTTTGCCATTTGATATTGTCTGAACACTTTTTTCAGCTTTTCACATGCCTGATGTTGACTGGGGAGGTATATGTGCACTCATGCAGAAGAAGTAGGAGTTTCGACATCGAATTTGGCATTTGGAGAAGCTGATCCGAAGTCCGGTGTTGGCAGTGTGTGATCGACAACCCTTGTTTTGCCTCGCTGCGCTTTATTACCGTGTAGAAGTTGTGGAACTTGGACATGTAGGTACATTAAGTACATTTAAGAACCCCAGTCCACTTGAGGCCCCTCTGTTGCTCACTATCAAGTGCCATAATAAGATCACCCTCATGCACTAGACATTTCTGACAGTGCTCCCTTAATGCCTCACTGTGCATTTTTTTAGTTTGCAAACATGAAGTAAGGGCTATACACCAGTCCCAGAACCTGCTTAGATGAAAATAATATCCACTGGCTCTTTTGGAATGTAACATTATGGTTCTGAAATCATCTGTAAAGAATGTGATAGTGTTCGACAAAACTAAATTATCTCCCCTGTTTAGTAAAATGCATTGTATCTTTCATTTCCCTATAAACCCATAAATTATTGGAGAGAAACACTATTTTAAGCTGGTATTGCATGACACTGTTAATTGTGAATAAAAAGAATTACATTTATGTCAGGATAAGCTGTACATTTTCAAAATTATATGGAATTTTAACTTTGTTTCATTGAAACTGGCAAATAACTGAAATAAGCAAGTTTAGCCACCTTGAAACATTAAACAGTAAGAATGTTTGATGTCCTGTGAGTATTTTAAAGTCTTAACTA